TAAGGTGCCACAGGTCGCCCACTGTGGCTATACAGTCCACATCACCACACAGGCGTGCAGCCATCGCCTTCTCCAGCTCAGTACGTTTCGCCACAGTACCGAGGGAGAGAATGTTAAATTTACGCCGACTCACGGCGGGAGTGCAATACATAGATTTACGAAAATATATGTACAGTTTGTTCCTCGCTAATTTATGATCAGTGCCACACTCAGCTCCATGCAGTACACGTGTCATGCGCACTTCACGCATATCACGCTGACGTACGATGACATCGTCGAGCAGGTGAGCGTGACCACTCCGTGGGTGCGTCCAAGTTGCTATACCACTCGCACTCAGTGCAAACCGAGTGTTCGTGATCGTCAGGCCGTGAGTGGCACACAGTGAGAGCAGCCTGTCACCGTTCGCATTCGCTGAACCAATGCCATGCGAACCGATAACATCTGTCCACGCTGATGCATCACGCCCAACGCGCGCGTTGAAATCTCCCGGCAGAAATAGTCGGTCGCTCCTCGGCACAGACCGTAGCACGGAGGATAGCTCAGTGTAGAACTGATCACGCGTGTCATCAGGATAACACATGGTCGGACCGTACGTGCTTATAAAAGTAGCAAACTTACCTCTTCCGAGTCGCAGGCGAACAGTCATCAGCCGCGCGCTGATGCCCGTTGGTTCGCCCACCAGCTGGCCATTCAGGCGGTCGGATATTGCAAATCCGATCCCATGTTCACGTGGTGCTGAGGCGGCGTTCCCCACCCAGTAGAATGTGTAGCCAGCACCTGCTTCATGTAACTTACCTTGCTCAGCGAGCCGAGTTTCACTGAGCGCCGCAATATCGATGTGGTAGCGCGCCAGCTCCATTGCGACCAGTGCAGTGCGTCGCTCCGGGCGCTCGCTCGAGTTCCGGTCCAGTAGTGTGCGCACGTTCCAGCACCCGATGCTGAGTGCTCTGCGCGCAGGCATACGATCGCATCGGTGGGCAATCGCACGCGAGGTGGTCGTTGTCCTTCGGAGGTTTGCTTGAGGGACTCCACCCGGAGCCTTTGGCTCAATAGCCTGACCCACAAGGCAGTGGGTAGTTTGGAGGTTTGCTTGAGGGACTCCACCCGGAGACTTTGGCTCAATAGCCTGACCCACAAGGCAGTGGAGAGCAGATCCAGCTCGGGAATGTGATTGCAGAGACAGATGGGGATCTGCTTGACGGCCGTTACACGCAGCCTTTGAGGTTCTGGAACAGTTATCATATGTTTTTCGACCGTAATTGGATACGCACCTGCGACCACGGCCAGACGCAGGTGGGTTTTTGGCGGGTTTGCACCAATTTGACCAGGGGCTGCTTGGCTTGAGGGCGGGCAGTAGCAAACCATTGAACACCCGGAGGTGTCCTCCCACCGTCAGAGACAATGCGTGGCACTCGTGCTCTACGCCAATCGAGCATTGAGAATATCACCCGTAACCTGTTGTCTCCCATGGCTAGGTTTTGCGGGAAGTGGGCCATCGACCACTTCCTAACCTCCGGAGAGGATGGACTAGGATACTGCCAGGGCGCCCAATCCTGACAGGAGAACGACTCGGGTCCTCAGCCAAAGCCTTCTATTAAATGAACACCCGAAAGGCAGCGGGTCTAACACATGGTCAGTTCACTGACTTATGCGGATTGGTGTCCTGGATCTTAACAGGCAGAAGGGCGAAACCTAACTCCCACCCAGCGGTCGCCACGGGGAAGCGTTCAGGACATGAGCCAATGACCAACAGCAGCAGCAGTATCTGTCAGCATCTAGCCACAACCAGCCTCAGCGCACCATAGGCTCTTCTGAGAAAAGGTACATTGGCTATAACAATGCGATGTGAAAGGCGAAACTCCTGCCCTACTAGCACCAAACAGAAGCCACCACCAGCCTCAGCACACCATAGGCTCTCCCGCCATATATATATATATATATCTATGTATGTATATATATATATATATATATATATATATATATATATATATATATATATATTGATATATGCCCATGCTGGCGGGAGAGTCTATGGTGAGCTGAGGCTGGTGGTGGCTAGATCCTGATAGATGGTCTACCCACTGCTGCAACTGTTGTGCCATTTACTCATGTCCTGGGAGCCTCCTCGTGACGACCGCTGGGTGGGAGTTGGGTTACGCCCTTCTCCATGCAAAGATCCAGGACACCAATCCGCATGAGTCAGTGAACTGACCATGTGCTAGACCCGCTGCCTTTCGGGTGTTCATTTAATAGAAGGCTTTGGCTGATGACCCAAGTGGTTCTCCTGTCAGGATTCGGCGCCTTGCGAGTATCCTAGTCTATCCTCTTCGGAGGTTAGGAAGTGGTCGATGACCCTCTTCCCGTAAAACATAGCCATGGGAGACAACAGGTCTACGGGTTATAAGCTCACCGCTCGATTGGCGTAGAGCACGAGCGCCATGCATTGTCTCTGACGGTGGGAGGACGCCTCCGGATGTTCAATGGTTTGCTACTGCCCGCCCCAAGCCAAGCAGCCGCTGGTCAAATTGGTGCAAACCCGCCAAAAACCCACCTGCGTCTGGCCGTGGTCGCAGGTGCGTATACTACTACGGTCGAAAAACATATATAAAACCTTCCAGAACCTCAAAGGCTGCGTGTAACGGCCGTCAAGCAGATCCCCATCTGTCTCTGCAATCACATTCCCGAGCTGGATCTGCTCTCCACTGCCTTGTGGGTCAGACTATTGAGCCAAAGGCTCCGGGCTGAGTCCCTCAAGCAAACCTCCAAACTACCCACTGCCTTGTGGGTCAGGCTATTGAGCCAAAGGCTCCGGGTGGAGTCCCTCAAGCAAACCTCCGAAGGACAACGACCACCTCGCGTGCGATTGCCCACCAATGCAATCGTATGCCTGCGCGCAAAGCACTCAGCATCGGGTGCTGGAACGTGCGCATACTACTGGACCGGAACTCCAGCGAGCGCCCGGAGCGACGCACTGCACTGGTCACGATGGAACTGGCGCGCTACCACATCGATATTGCGGCGATCAGTGAAACTCGGCTCGCTGAGCAAGATAAGTTGCATGAAGCAGGTGCTGGCTACATATTCTACTGGGTGGGCAACGCCGCCTCAGCACCATGTGATCATGGGGTCGAATTTGCGATATCTGATCGCCTCCATGGCCTGCTGGTGAGTGAACCAACGGGCATCAGCGCGCGGCTGATGACTGTTCGCCTGCGACTCGGAAGAGGTAAGTTTGCTACTTTCATAAGCACGTACGGTCCGACCATGTGTTATCCTGATGACACGCGTGATCAGTTCTACACTGAGCTATCCTCCGTGATACGGTCTGTGCCGAGGAGCGACCGACTATTTCTGCCGGGAGATTTCAACGCGCGCGTTGGGCGTGATGCATCAGCGTGGACAGATGTTATCGGTTCGCATGGCATTGGTTCAGCGAATGCGTACGGTGACAGGCTACTCTCACTGTGTGCCACTCACGGCCTGACGATCACGAACACTCGGTTTGCACTGAGTGCGAGTGATATAGCAACTTGGACGCACCCACGGAGTGGTCACGCCCACCTGCTCGACGATGTCATCGTACGTCAGCGTGATATGCGTGAAGTGCACATAACACGTGTACTGCGTGGAGCTGAGTGTGGCACTGATCATAAATTAGCGAGGAACAAACTGTACATATATTTTCGTAAATCTATGTATTGCACTCCCGCCGTGAGTCGGCGTAAATTTAACATTCTCTCCCTCGGTACTGTGGCGAAACGTACTGAGCTGGAGAAGGCGATGGCTGCACGCCTGTGTGGTGATGTGGACTGTATAGCCACAGTGGGCGACCTGTGGCACCACATTCGCGACCAGGTGACAGCTGCTGCTGAGCAGACCATCGGGCGCACAAACTGTAAGCGGCTTGATGGGTTTGATGATAACAATGCGACGATTGGCGCATTGGTGTCGGCGAAGAATGCAGCATCT